GTTGTAGCTTTTTACATCTCTGTAAAACTCACTATACTGCGGTGTGATTTAGGCTTTGTTGTAGCTTTTTACATCTCTGTAAAACTCACTATACTGCGGTGTGATTTAGGCTTTATTGTAGCTTTTTACATCTCTGTAAAACTCACTATACTGCGGTGTGATTTAGGCTTTGTTGTAGCTTTTTCCAACGCTGTAAAACTAATTATACTGCGGCGTGATTTAGGCTTTGTTGTAGCTTTTTACAACGCTGTAACTCACTATACTGCAGCGTGATATAGGCTTTGTTGTAGCTTTTTACAACGCTGTAACTAACTATACTGCAGCGTGATTTAGGCTTTGTTGTAGCTTTTTACAACGCTGTAACACTCACTGTATTGCGGCGTGATTTAGGCTTTGTTGTAGCTTTTTACATCTCTGTAACACTCACTATCCTGCGGCGTGATTTAAACTTTGTTGTAGCTTTTTACATCTCTGTAAAACTCACTGTACTGCAGCGTGATTTAGGCTTTGTTGTAGCTTTTTACAACGCTGTAACTAACTATACTGCAGCGTGATATAGGCTTTGTTGTAGCTTTTTACAACGCTGTAAAACTCACTATACTGCAGTGTGATTTAGGCTTTGTTGTAGCTTTTTCCAACGCTGTAAAACGAATTATACTGCGGCGTGATTTAGGCTTTGTTGTAGCTTTTTACAACGCTGTAACTAAATATACTGCAGCGTGATTTAGGCTTTGTTGTAGCTTTTTACAACGCTGTAACACTCACTGTCCTGCAGCGTGATTTAGGCTTTGTTGTAGCTTTTTACATCTCTGTAACACTCACTATCCTGCGGCGTGATTTAAACTTTGTTGTAGCTTTTTACATCTCTGTAAAACTAATTATACTGCGGCGTGATTTAGGCTTTGTTGTAGCTTTTTACAACGCTGTAACACTCACTGTACTGCGGCGTGATTTAGGCTTTGTTGTAGCTTTTTACAACGCTGTAACTAACTATACTGCGGCGTGATTTAGGCTTTGTTGTAGCTTTTTACATCTCTGTAAAACTCACTATACTGCGGTGTGATTTAGGCTTTGTTGTAGCTTTTTCCAACGCTGTAAAACTAATTATACTGCGGCGTGATTTAGGCTTTGTTGTAGCTTTTTACAACGCTGTAACTAACTATACTGCAGCGTGATTTAGGCTTTGTTGTAGCTTTTTACAACGCTGTAACTAACTATACTGCAGCGTGATTTAGGCTTTGTTGTAGCTTTTTACAACGCTGTAACTAACTATACTGCAGCGTGATTTAGGCTTTGTTGTAGCTTTTTACAACGCTGTAACTAACTATACTGCAGCGTGATTTAGGCTTTGTTGTAGCTTTTTACAACGCTGTAACACTCACTGTACTGCGGCGTGATTTAGGCTTTGTTGTAGCTCTTTACAACGCTGTAAAACTAATTATACTGCGGCGTGATTTAAGCTTTGTTGTTGCTTTCTACAACGTTGTAACACTCACTGTACTGCGGCGTGATTTAGGCTTTGTTGCAGCATGATTGTTGGATAAGGGTTAGGGTTGTCTTTGTTGTAGCTTCTTTAACCATGTCCATTAGAGAATGAGTTTAAATAAGTAAACAGCACAAAAACACATTTCATATAATACATACATTACCATTCAAAAGTTTGGGGTCACTTAGAAATGTCCTTGTTTTAAAAGAAAAGCAATTTTTATGTCCATTAAAATAACATCACATTGATCAGAAATACAGTGTAGACATTGTTCATGTTGTAAATGGCTATTGTAGCTGGAAACGGCTGATTTTTAATGGAATATCTACATAGGCGTACAGAGGCCCATTATCAGCAACCATCAGTCCTGTGTTTATGTTATTTTAATGTTATTTTAATGGACAAAAAAATTGCTTTTCTTTCGAAAACAAGGAAATTTCTAAGTGATCCCAAGCTTTTGAACGGTAGTGTACATAATATTGCTACCTGCGTTATTCAGACCTGGCCTTGGATAAATTGCCATACCATCCCATCTTTCTACAATGTCACTCTTCTTTTCACCATTTGATCACTGCGTGTGTTTAAGTGTTTGAGGAAAATGGTGGCCATAGTGTTCTGATTTTAAGGATTTGTATACTATTCAATATTAAATGTCTCTGAGGTGTGTTTTGTAAACTGTGTGTTTTGAAGAGTCATGTTGGTTTGGTGGAGACAGGAGAGAGTGTATTTTATGTAAATAACAGTGTGCTTCTGTAATGAGGCTTTACGTGCTGTTCTGTAGAAGTAAAATAACCAAACACCACGAGCTCTGAACCTTCATGACTGACTGACTATGACTGACTGACTATGACTGACTGACTGACTGACTGAGACTGACTGACTGACATGACTGACGACGATGACTGCGACTGACTGACTGACTTGACTGACGACTGATGACTGACTGACTATGCGACTGACTGACTGACTGACGACTGATGACTGACTGACTGACTGACTGACTGACTGACTGACTGACTGACTGGACTTGACTGACTGACTGACTGACTGATGGCTGACTGACTGACTGACTGACTGGGCTGACGACTGACTGGACTATGACTGACTGACTATGACTGACTATGATGACTGACTGACGTGACTGACTATGACTGATGACTGATGACTGACTGACTGACCAGACTACTGACTGACTGACTACTGATGACGACTGACTGCTGACTATGACTGACTGACTGACTATGACTGGACTGACTGAGACTGACTGATGACTGACTGACTGACTTGACTGACTGATGACTATGACTGACTGACTGACTGACATGACTGACTGACATGACTGACTGACTATGACTGACTGCTATACTGACTGACTGACTGACTGACTGATGCATGACTGACTGACTGACTGACTGACTATGACTGACTGACTGACTGACTGACTACTGACTGACTGACTGACTGACTGACGACTATGACTGACTGAGACTGACTGACTATGGACTGATGCTGCTGATGACTGACTGACTGACTGACTGACTGCTGACTGACTATGACTGAATGACTGACTATATGATGACTATGACTGACTGACTGATATCTGACTGACTATGACTGACTGATGACTGACTTATGACTGATGACTGACTTGACTGACTGACTGACTGACTGCTATGACTGACTGACTTGACTGACTATGACATGACTGAACTGTGACTACTGACTGACTGACTGACTGACTGACTGACTGACGCTGACTGACTGATGACTGACTGTGACTTGACTGACTGACTGACTATGTGACTGACTTGACTGATGACTGACTGACTACTGACTGACTTGACTGACTGACTGACTGACTATGACTGCTGACTGACTGAACTGACTGATGACTTATGACTGACATGACTGACTGATGACTGACTGTGACTGACTGACTGACATGACTGACTGATGACATGACTGACTGACTGACTTGATGATGACTGACTATTGACTATGACTGACTGACTATGAACTGACTGACACTGACTGACTATGACTATGACATCGACTGACTGGAATACTGACTGACTGACTGACTACTGACTGATGACTATGACATGACATGACTGACTACTGGACTATGACTGACTGAGACTGACTTGACTGACTGAGACTGATTGACTGACTGACTACTGAGATGATATGACATGACATGACTGACTGACTATGACTGACTGAAACTGACTGACTGACTTGGACTATTTCTAACTGACTGACTATGACATGACTGACTGACTGACTACTGACCTGACTGCACATGAATGATATGACTGGACATGACTGACTCTATCTGACTGACTGAACTGACTGACTGACTATGACTGACTGACTGAAGCTGGACTGACTATGACTGACATTGACTATGTTGCTGGACTATGACAGACTGACCTTGATATGCTGACTGACTATGCTGATGATTGACTATACTGATGACTATGTGACTGACTAATGGGCTGACTTATGACTGACTTGCTGACTGATACTACTGACTGACTGACTGACTATCTGACCTGACATGATGACGAATGATGAGAGACTTGACTGATGTCATGCATGATGAACTTGACTGACCCGACTATGACTGACTTGCTGGACTTGACTTGATTATAGTTGCTGATGGTATCACTACTATCTGACTGATGACTGACTCTGATGACATGGATGAATGACTATGCTGATATGCACTGACTATATGGCGACTAATTATACTGCTTGACTATGTGTGATGATCGTGTAGTAACTGATTAATTGAGATGTATAATGCTCGATGCTGACGTCTCTGTGCTGACTACATTCTTGTATGCTATTGGTTAATATATGCTCATAGTGACATCTCTGTCTACTCCAGGGTTTCCCAAACTCGGTCCTGTGTAACTATTTGTCATTTTAAAGTGTTGTTTGTGGTTGCAAAGGCAATAAGGGCCACCGCAATGCCACTGCAATTCAAGAATGACCCATTACGTATACATGCATGTGAAATGTAATGTGAAATTATTTAGATTGAATACATGTGAAATCATATAATATGGTGGCAGCAGATTATAACTAAGTCATTGTCTTGGAGCATTCTTGATGTTACTCACCCCGCACATTAGTTACAACAGTCTGAGTGACATTCTGTGACAACTTCTCTTCTGACATCTCTGGAAACAGCTCCGTACCCAGGGTGCATTGCAGAAGAAAGCCACAAACCCTTAACGCTGTCAGTCTCATCTGAAACATAAAGTGGAACACACACTCTAAACAGGCCTGACAACAAGCCATCACTTTATGTTAATAGAAGACTTAAAAATCATTTATTTTAAATAGCTGTTGTGATCATAAAGGGATAGTTCAGCTATTTTACATATTTAGATATTTGTTTCCATACCTTGAAAGCAGTCTATGGACAAGGAGGGATTACAATCCACACTTTGGTTTTCTTAAACTAGCCACTGCAAACAATTATTGTAATTGAAAAATTGCTGAACTATCCCTTTAAGATGGAGATAAGACAAGGTCCTCTCTGGAGTAATGATGTGAACGATGGTAATGGTGAATGATGGTAATGGTGAACGATGGTAATGGTGAACGATGTATAACTGTACTCACCTCTGATGGTGAAGGTCCTCTGCTGCTCCTCTGTCTGTAGTCTGGTAGTCTGCTGCTCCTCTGTCTGTAGTCTGGTAGTCTGCTGCTCCTCTGTCTGTAGTCTGGTAGTCTGCTGCTCCTCTGTCTGTAGTCTGGTAGTCTGCTGCTCCTCTGTCTGTAGTCTGGTAGTCTGCTGCTCCTCTGTCTGTAGTCTGGTAGTCTGCTGCTCCTCTGTCTGTAGTCTGGTAGTCTGCTGCTCCTCTGTCTGTAGTCTGGTAGTCTGCTGCTCCTCTGTCTGTAGTCTGGTAGTCTGCTGCTCCTCTGTCTGTAGTCTGGTAGTCTGCTGCTCCTCTGTCTGTAGTCTGGTAGTCTGCTGCTCCTCTGTATGTCCACCTCGGTCTGTAGTCTTGGTCTGCTGCTCCTCTGTCTGTAGTCTGGTAGTCTGCTGCTCCTCTGTCTGTAGTCTGGTAGTCTGCTGCTCCTCTGTCTGTAGTCTGGTGGTCTGCTGCTCCTCTGTCTGTAGTCTGGTGGTCTGCTGCTCCTCTGTCTGTAGTCTGGTGGTCTGCTGCTCCTCTGTCTGTAGTCTGGTAGTCTGCTGCTCCTCTGTCTGTAGTCTGGTAGTCTGCTGCTCCTCTGTCTGTAGTCTAGTAGTCTGCTGCTCCTCTGTCTGTAGTCTGGTAGTCTGCTGCTCCTCGGTCTGTAGTCTGGTAGTCTGCTGCTCCTCTGTCTGTAGTCTGGTAGTCTGCTGCTCCTCTGTCTGTAGTCTGGTAATCTGCTGCTCCTCTGTCTGTAGTCTGGTAGTCTGTCTCAGTGTGTTTGTCGCTCCACTGTTTTATTGCAGACCAATACCGTACACAAATCCAGACATTGGGCTCATTGTTAATCTTTGGTAAATATTTTACTAATTTTGTTTCCTTGCATCATTTCTTTGTATTTGCCACAAGCTGTGTACACAGTCGTATCAAACTCCTTTATCATCCCAGTCACCTCAGGGTGTCACGATCGTCATATTGAACAGACCAAGGCGCAGCGTGATGAACGAACATACTTTAATTAGTTAAAGTGTAAACACGATACAAAAACAAGAAACGACTCGTGAAGTCCACGGTAACAATGACCGAACACGGAACAAGAACCCACAAACCCAAAGGGAAAACAGACAGTTTAAATATGGCTCCCAATCAGAGACAACCAACGACAGCTGACACTCGTTGCCTCTGATTGGGAGTCACTCAGGCCAACCTAGAAATAAACACAACAGCACTACCAACATAGAAATAAACACAACAGAAAGAACACACCCTGGCTCAACATATAGAGTCCCAGAGCCAGGGTGTGACAGTACCCCCCCCTAAAGGCGCGGACTGCGACCGCGCCTCAACCTGAACAAAACAGGGGAGGGCTGGGCGGGCATACCTCCTCGGCGGCGGTTCTGGCTCCGGCCTTGACCACCACCCTCCAATACACCCCCCATAGCGCCCCTGGTCCAGTCTGGCCCCGCCGGCTGGAGCTGAACTGGACTTAGCAGGAGCGGTTAGCTTCAGCTCCATAGTGGAGCAGTTGACCGGTACCTTACCAGGCACCGGTGACCCAGGCACGGGTTGTGCTGGACTGACGACGCGCACCCCTGGCTTGGTGCGTGGAGGAGGAACGGGCCTTACCAGGCTGACGACTCGCACCCCTGGCTTGGTGCGTGGAGGAGGGACGGGCCTTACCAGGCTGACGACTCGCACCCCTGGCTTAGTGCGTGGAGGAGGAACGGGCCTTACCAGGCTGACGACTCGCACCCCTGGCTTGGTGCGTGGAGGAGGAACGGGCCTTACCAGGCTGACGTCTCGCACCCCTGGCTTAGTGCGTGGAGGAGGAACGGGCCTTACCAGGCTGACGTCTCGCACCCCTGGCTTAGTGCGAGTGGCAGTAACAGGCCGGGCCGGGCTGGCGACGCGCACCGTAGACTTGGTGCGAGTGGCAGGAACAGGCCGGGCCGGGCTGGCGACGCGCACCGTAGACTTGGTGCGAGTGGCAGGAACAGGCCGGGCCGGGCTGGCGACGCGCACCGTAGACTTGGTGCGTGGAGCAGGGACAGGCCGGACTGGGCTGGCGACGCACACCGTAGGCTTGGTGCGTGGAGCAGGGACTGGCCGGACTGGGCTGGCGACGCACACCGCAGGCTTGGTGCGTGGAGCAGGGACAGGCCGAACCGGGCTGTGGAGACGGATAGGAGACCTGGAGTGAAGAGCGGCCACAACCCGTCCTGGCTGAATGCCTACCCTCACCCACTCTGTGTGAGGCATCCGCACAGGACATACAGGGCGGTGTATCCGTAACCTGGTGGCCTTCTGAATCCGCCCCTCTTTTGCCTCCGTCAGCCCCGTCGTCCATGCCGTGTGCCCCCCCCTAAAAAATTTCTGGGGTTGCCTCTCGCCTGTCCGACGTTGACCCGTTTGGCGCCGCTGCTCCTCTCTACGGCGCGCCTCCACCGTCTCTTCTCCCGGCGCTTCCTCCCATGTCCAGCCCAAGAGCTGCCCCTGGACACGCTGCTTGGTCGTTGCATGGTGGGTTCTTCTGTCACGATCGTCATATTGAACAGACCAAGGCGCAGCGTGATGAATGAACATACTTTAATTAGTTAAAGTGTAAACACGATACAAAAACAAGAAACGACTCGTGAAGTCCACGGTAACAATGACCGAACACGGAACAAGAACCCACAAACACAAAGGGAAAATAGACAGTATAAATATGGCTCCCAATCAGAGACAACCAACGACAGCTGACACTCGTTGCCTCTGATTGGGAGTCACTCTAGCCAACATAGAAATAAACACACCAGAATTACCAACATAGAAATAAACACAAAGAATGAACACACCCTGGCTCAACATATAGAGTCCCAGAGCCAGGGTGTGACACAGGGGTGCATTCAGTTTGGTTTAACGTTTGCTACGTTGAGTAATGTTTTGTACTGAATGACACGTTTCCCCCAAAACGGTGCGCACAGTTTTTCAACAGCCTTTGAAAACGTGATTTGTTTTGGTTTATTACAGGAAATTAGCTTTAAAACCGCAAAATGTTCTCTCAGCCTCATGTCAAAATGTGTAAAATAGCATGAGATTAGCTATAAAACTGCAAAAAATAAATAATCCTTCCCAAATAAATGTTATATATTTTTGGACCTTGCTCGAACCTTGCGGGGGGCCCTGCGTAACGCCACTGGTGTACATTATGAAAAAATAAAATAATAATGTATGTACTCACTAACTGTAAGTCGCTCTGGATAAGAGCGTCTGCTAAATGACTAAAATGTAAATGTAAAAATGTACAGTGCACTTGGAAAGTATTCAGACCCCTTGATTTCTTCCACATTTTGTTACGTTACTGCCTTATTCTAAAATTGATTAAATGTTATGATGAGTTTCTGGTATTGAGAAGTTCAAGATGCAAGAATTTACTTAGACATTCTGTGGAGATTTTATACCAAGTATTTATTGGATCACGAGCCCATGGTTTCATCTAACAAACGGACATAACCTTGCCCCATTGTCAATTGAACTGCCCCATACACAAATCTCACAGCTTTTATACTCTTGGTTACACATTTCTTCAACCCCATCTTGCCATCGTCAATGAGCACTTCCATTCTTTGATGTTATTACTCTTTACCCCAAGTCATACAGTGGGGGAAAAAAGTATTTAGTCAGCCACCAATTGTGCAAGTTCTCCCACTTAAAAAGATGAGAGAGGCCTGTAATTTTCATCATAGGTACACGTCAACTATGACAGACAAATTGAGAGAAAAAAATCCAGAAAATCACATTGTAGGATTTTTTATTAATTTATTTGCAAATTATGGTGGAAAATAAGTATTTGGTCACCTACAAACAAGCAAGATTTCTGGCTCTCACAGACCTGTAACTTCTTCTTTAAGAGGCTCCTCTGTCCTCCACTCGTTACCTGTATTAATGGCACCTGTTTGAACTTGTTATCAGTATAAAAGACACCTGTCCACAACCTCAAACAGTCACACTCCAAACTCCACTATGGCCAAGACCAAAGAGCTGTCAAAGGACACCAGAAACAAAATTGTAGACCTGCACCAGGCTGGGAAGACTGAATCTGTAATAGGTAAGCAGCTTGGTTTGAAGAAATCAACTGTGGGAGCAATTATTAGGAAATGGAAGACATACAAGACCACTGATAATCTCCCTCGATCTGGGGCTCCACGCAAGATCTCACCCCGTGGGGTCAAAATGATCACAAGAACGGTGAGCAAAAATCCCAGAACCACACGGGGGGACCTAGTGAATGACCTGCAGAGAGCTGGGACCAAAGTAACAAAGCCTACCATCAGTAACACACTACGCCGCCAGGGACCCAAATCCTGCAGTGCCAGACGTGTCCCCCTGCTTAAGCCAGTACATGTCCAGGCCCATCTGAAGTTTGCTAGAGTGCATTTGGATGATCCAGAAGAGGATTGGGAGAATGTCATATGGTCAGATGAAACCAAAATAGAACTTTTTGGTAAAAACTCAACTCGTCGTGTTTGGAGGACAAAGAATGCTGAGTTGCATCCAAAGAACACCATACCTACTGTGAAGCATGGGGGTGGAAACATCATGCTTTGGGGGTGTTTTTCTGCAAAGGGACCAGGACAACTGATCCGTGCAAAGGAAAGAATGAATGGGGCCATGTATCATGAGATTTTGAGTGAAAACCTCCTTCCATCAGCAAGGGCATTGAAGATGAAACGTGGCTGGGTCTTTCAGCATGACAATGATCCCAAACACACCGCCCGGGCAACGAAGGAGTGGCTTCGTAAGAAGCATTTCAAGGTCCTGGAGTGGCCTAGCCAGTCTCCAGATCTCAACCCCATAGAAAATCTTTGGAGGGAGTTGAAAGTCCGTGTTGCCCAGCGACAGCCCCAAAACATCACTGCTCTAGAGGAGATCTGCATGGAGGAATGGGCCAAAATACCAGCAACAGTGTGTGAAAACCTTGGGAAGACTTACAGAAAACGTTTGACCTGTGTCATTGCCAACAAAGGGTATATAACAAAGTATTGAGAAACTTTTGTTATTGACCAAATACTTATTTTCCACCATAATTTGCAAATAAATTCATTAAAAATCCTACAATGTGATTTTCTGGATTTTTCTTTCTCAATTTGTCTGTCATAGTTGACGTGTACCTATGATGAAAATTACAGGCCTCTCTCATCTTTTTAAGTGGGAGAACTTGCACAATTGGTGGCTGACTAAATACTTTTTTTCCCCACTGTATATCCTGTCCATCCATCAGGCTATCCTAAACATCAGTAATCTCCTTTGACATAACGGAATGCAGACTCAGTGGAACCAAGTAAATTATCTCGTAACTCTAACCTGGTCCCCACGATACTATGACATGACATCATTACAATCCTTTTTTTTTTTTTTGGTAAGTAAAATTACTTAACCGGCAACAGTTCATATAAAATACAATATTTCCAATCAGCAGTAGATATATCTCTCTGACTAGAGCCTAAACTATGCTAGATAACTGACCCATCATCTTATACATGCTACCAATAAAACATTCATCAAAATAAATTGTGACCATCATGACATCATCCCCACAAATACAAAGATCCATAACCATTACTAAGTTGCATGGATATTACAATATATTCAAATGAATATATCAAAATAAAATAACTTCAATCTTCTTCATACATCTTCATACAGATGAACCCCAAGCTTTTCACTGGTCACTTTGGGCTCTATCTGATCTACTGAGATAGTCTTCTGTCCACATCTTCAACCCTGTAAACCTCAATCCACTTTATACATTTCCAACTTAACATTCCTTATTCCTCAATCAACATTATCAATGTACTCTAAACTGGAATAACATATAGATGAATAATTTATCCTTTCTCTCCTATATTGACTGATACATCTCTATTCATACTCCTAATACCTTCCTATATGTCTCTAATATTTCCCATAGCTTTATATAAATTTCCCAATACCTTCCTAATCTTAATATCCAACATGTATCCCCCATATAATCACATACATTCCCTCTTTATCTACTATAATAGCATCCAATGCTATGTGATTATCACTTACATCGTCTAATGAGTAACATCTCAGACCCCATTACTTAAAAACCCATGATTGTTAAAATATGCAATGTTCAACTCCGACTTTGTTCTCCTAAAATGCCTAATATGACATACACATTACAACACTCTATTATCGCTCCCTGTTAAATCACTACATCCTTAAACTATTCACGCTTTAAGAATTAATCAACATATTCATGATTTCATTCACAATCCTCACCTTAACTTCCATGTTTGAAACAGTATGATTCAACAATGTCTACTCAAAATAAATCATATAAATGTATCCTAAGACATTACCATAATGTATCACTGTTTTAACCCATAATGTCTATATAAAACATTTCTCAATTGAACAATCAATATCCTTCATTTTGAAAATAATTATACTAATACATACTAATGATTCACTTAAATCATACATTCATGTTATAAATTATAACCAACCAAATTACTTAACTCAACCAAATTTAAAATGACAATCCTTATTGATTCACTTGATCCTTATCAATGAAAATTTAAATTCTCAAATGAATCACCCATTACAACTGTCAGAATGTACATTTATATTAACATACATTATAAACATCCATAATTCAATTATGACTTTCCTCATCCTGAAAATAAATACAGATCATTATCTCAATGCATTCTTAATACTATTCATGTATCAGTGTATATACCTACTACCCAAATTATCAAATTTAGATAAACCCAATTTTATTATCAACACAGCTAAGCAACCCCTTTTTCTCCCGGCACTTAAATCTTCTGGCGTCTCTTCATTACGTTCTTCAGACATCTTCACATTTCCAAATGACTTGCCCATGACAATGTCACAACTACAATGTCTCATGCGAGTCACCACCAACTCCACAACCTCATTGTCTTTTCCATTTGCCAACCATTATGCCCACAACATTATAAATGTTGTATCTGAACATATATTTCTCCATTCTCACTCAATGGTGGACTCCTTTCCCGCTCCTTCGATATAAAAACATGAGAAAATCCTTTGATATCTTTGTTTGGTTGTTGTAGACCAGTTGCATGTAGAAGTGGTGCTTTACAGAAACATCTTCAGCCGGTTCATTTTTTTTTTTTTACTTTTATTTATTTAGGTTCACACCATGCTAGGCCAAATTATCCCTGCTATGCATCAAGACACCATCTGTATTTACCTCACTAGAAGACAAACATAACATTTTAATTGATTTCATTTCTAATCCAAGAATTCCATATAAGTGGCGCAGTGGTCTAAGGCACTGCATCGCAGTGCTAGCTGTGCCACTAGAGATCCTGGTTCGAACCCAGGCTCTGTCGTAGCCGGCCGCGACCGGGAGACCCATGGGGCGGCGCACAATTGGCCCAGCGTTGTCCAGGGTAGGGGAGGGAATGGCCGGCAGGGATGTAGCTCAGTTGGCAGAGCATGGCGTTTGCAACGCCAGGGTTGTGGGTTCGATTCCCACGGGTGGCCAGTATGAAAAAATTAAAAATAATGTATGCACTCACTAACTGTAAATCGCTCTGGATAAGAGCGTCTGCTAAAATGTAAATATAATCATTGACCACATGACAAATTATTATGTTTCACAATTATTCCTAATACCAATTTCTATTCACATCGCTCTGTGTAGTGTGTCCTTCTTGCATCGCACCAATATGGAATTCAAGATTCACAGCTGCAACGACACAAACACAAACACAATGCTCCACAGTTCCATCTTCCTCCTCTCCTACAGTGGGACAAATATATACAGGTATCTCATCTACTTTCCCCTCCATCCAGGTAGCCACAACATAGTCTCCAAGTCGCAGAAGATGTCCAGATTCTCCTGGTAGGTCTGGCAGAGAAGCCTTCACCTTTTTAAAGAAAGTCTGCATAACATTGTTAGTTGAGTCACAGCATGCTACTTCATCCTGTCTTCTTATCAGTCCTGATAAGCCTTTTAGATTAGGAAGTGCACATTCTTGCAGCTTGTTGCAGTCCACTCATGTCATAGAAAGGCCTCCTCTAAATTCTGCCTTATACCACAAATACATTTTCCCCTAAAACATTTAATCTAACCCATAACACATTACTTACTACTGCTCAGATTCTGAATATAATTTTCATATTTATCAATAATTCTCATTCGAATAGTACTTTCCCCCATTGGACACATGAGTCACAATGTGATTAATGCATTCAATGACAAAACAACAACATCGTTTGTTAAACCAAAATAACAAATGAAATTAAAATGACAACCCTTGACAATACCTTAACTTACTTCTATCCCGTAAAGTAACTTAACTAGCAACAGGTATCCCTCATTCAGGGAAAGCTCTTTCTCTCTTTTGTTATTTTATGGTTCGAATCATATATTTTATTACCAAATTATAAACTTCTTCATAATTTTCACAGTAATATAAATTACCCTCAACTCGGTAACATAAACTATCTTAAAGTCCTCCTCTCATGCCTTTAGAATTACCAGTGTGGATGATCAAGTCACACTAGAAAGTCAAAACAGAGTTCAGAGGTCATTGAAATCATTCAACGAAATGTTCCATCCCATAGTATACTAAACATTACCATCATTCAAAATATTTCATAAATGTTACTTATCCCAAGTGTACATTAAGTCCTCATGACATTTCTTCTCATAAGAAATCATGTGTATACCCAAAACTCAGTCAAAAAAGAAAAATAAAACTTCATAAAATTCACTGTCCTTTAAGACTTATCACCTTTGACCTGTTGAAAACCCCCTAAAATCAAAATAATAACCCTTTATAAACATCATACTAGGTGTGTTGTTGTTTTTATTTGAAAAACCCTGATGTTATTATTTTGTTTGCTTATTTAGACTTTTGGTGCTATAATACAACAGGTTTACTTATCTCTGCTCTGGTTCTTTCTGTCGTATGACTTATTGCTTTCTCTCTCTCCTTCCTGTTTGGAGCAACTTCACACGCCTTATTCTCCCGTTACTACAGCGCTCTACCTCTTAATTACGGTTCATTTTAATTGTAACCTTCTACCAGGGATTTTAACCTTAATCCCTAACCTCGCTGAGGACTTGAACTTCGCACCTTTCTACGTTCGTCTACCAAGACGTTATTGCTGAGGACTCGAACCTCGCATCTTTCTACGTTCGTCTACCAAAGACGTTTATCCTTTTCATAATGATACAATACATCTCTCTATTTCATGAATTATTCCATGTTGATACAACACATCAGAATACTTATTTCATGAATTATTCCATGATGATACAACACATCAGAATTCTGCAGCATTTAAGGTCCCCAAAAACACAGTGGCCTCCATCATTCTTAAATGGAAGAAGTTTGGAACCACCAAGATTCTTCCTAGAGCTGGTCGCCTGGCCAAACTGAGCAATCGGGGGAGAAGGGCCTTGGTCAGGGAGGTGACCAAGAACCCAATAGTCACTCTGACAGAGCTCCAGAGTTCCTCTTTGGAGATGGAGAACCTTCCAGAAGGACAACCATCTCTGCAGCACTCCACCAATCAGGCCTTTATGATAGAGTGGCCAGACGGAAGCCACTCCTCAGTAAAAGGCACATGACAGCCCGCTTGGAGTTTGCCAAAAGGCACCTAAAGGACTCTCAGACCATGAGAAACAAGATTCTCTGGTCTGATGAAACCAAGATTTAACTCTTTGGCGTGAATGCCAAGCGTCACGTCTGGAGGAAACCTGGCACCATCCCTACGATGAAGCATGGTGGTGGCAGCATCATGCTGTGGGGATGTTTTTCAGCGGCAGGGACTGAAAAACAGAGCAAAGTACAGAGAGATCCTTGATGAAAACCTGCCCCAGAGCGCTCAGGACCTCAGACTTGGGCGAAGATTCAACTTCCAACAGGACAACGACCCTGAGCACACAGCCAAGACAACGCAGGAGTGGCTTCGGGACAAGTCTCTGAATGTCCTTGAATGGCCCAGCCAAAGCCCGGAATTGAACCCGATCTAACAACTCTGGATAGACCTGAAAATAGCTGTGCAGCGACGCTCCCCATCCAACCTGACAGAGCTTGAGAGGATCTGCAGAGAAGAATGGGAGAAACACCCCAAATACAGGTGTGCCAAGCTTGTAGCGTCATACCCAAGAAGACTTGAGGCTGTAATCGCTGCCAAAGGTGCTTCAACAAAGTACTGAGTAAAGGGTCTGAATACTTATGTAAATGTAATATTTCCATTTTTATTTTTTAAACATTTGCAAAAATGTCAAAAAAAAACAGTATTTGCTATGTCTTTATGGGGTACTGTCTGTAGATTGATGAGGGGGAGAAAAAAAAACAATTTAATCAATTCTAGAATAAGGGATCTGAATACTTTCCAAATGCACTGTCTGTGTGTGTGTGTTTGCGCATGCGCACCTGTGCTGAAATGTGTGTTTGTTTATGTGTGTGTCTTACTGATCTAGGTAGGAAGTCTTCTTCACTGAGGGGTACCCAGAGGCACTCCGTACCCTCAGCTTGTGCAGCTGACAGACGCACTAAACTGTGCCTTGACTTTGCCAGAAAGCTCCTAAAGACCGACTTCAGAGCCTGTTTTTTTTGGCACTTTACATTTTTATTTTACATTGATGTTGTTTATTGTAACAGCAAAGTAATTCAGAGTTTTTAATTACAACTTTCGTTAAGAACCTGTGATAATGCTGAAAGACCAATAACTTAACTGGTGAGGTATAAAATTATTCAAATGAAGGTCTTACACAGGGCCTACATCACACCACACAGGTTGAAAAAGACAGATCAAAGCCTTTCAGATGTGTGTTGGCATGGCTGCGGTGAGGTCGGAACTCTAATCTGTTCTGGAACTGTTCAGCCACCGAAGGATTTTGGACCGAGGTAGTTGATATGTTGTCTGGAATTTTGAATGTATGTATCCCTCGTTTGTCACGTTGTATGATTTGAAGACAGGCGCAGGAATACGTATTAGGGGTTATATTACTCCACCCAACACGTGTATATATATACAAAAGGGATGTAACCCAAACAAAGAGCGAGGTGTAACCTCTACACAATACACGGGAGGAGACCCGTAAACAACAAGAGCACAATACACGGTACTCACGAGACCAACGGACATGGGACAACAATCGACAAGGACAATGGGGAACAGATGGCACATATATACACATACTAATCAGGGGGAATGGGAACCAGGTGTGCGTAATGAGACAAGACAGTCCGGGGTTGGTGGTAATGATCCATGTCAGTGACCTAGAAGGCCGGTGACGTAGACCTCTGGAACTGGTGAACGGAATGAGCAGCAGTACCGGGGGGATCCGTGACATCGTGTTCCTGTAGTGAGCCTACTAGGATGTATGGGTTGACAATGACATTAAATCACACAACGGCGGTGTGTCTACAGATACGCTGTATTCTGACCTTGATTTAATTCCCTCATAATTCCACCAACTTTTACGCGCGATGAAATCACTGGAGACAAATGTGAAACCAGTCATATAGCAGCAAACTGAAGCATATCAACATATCACCTTTTCCACAGTGAAGTTTATGAAAGGCTGGCCTTAGAATTTGGGATGAAATGTGGATACCCAATAGGCTTCTGTAGCCATGTGCAAATGACAGTATAGCGCCAAACCTATCGATTTGATTTATGATTTCTAGAATGTTTTCACTGTATTTAATTTTTGTTTTACTATTTGTATCGTGTTAAATATTAGCCACTATCGGTGGTCACCGTCAGTTATACCGACATACATTTTTAACAGTCACTGACTTTAGTGTTAAGTTTCCTTACATTTTGTATCATTCCATTGCATCGTTAGTTTACCTTTCTTTCCTCTGTCATGTTCGCGTGGTTGTTCCTGAGGATCACTAGCAATAGTGGATCATATTAGGCTAATGTATTACAAGATGTGCGATAATTTGAGACATGTAGCCTATTTGAATCATTATGGAACACAGACTAGACATAGCAGTTTAAACCTGGAACCTGACGCACGGTTCACGATGACTGGACCGTTGTCATCACAGTTCCATGATTAGTGAGGATTATTAGGGTAGATTTATAGGACTACTGTTCAACACCTATTGTACACTTTCCTCTCCTTCCAATATTTAATGGATTGAACAATTTAATATGGCAACTTTCAGGATGAATCAAACTACTGTATTTTTGATTATTCAATATATTTTGTGCGTAAAGGCACTCCAAACCTTTCCTAACCCTAAATAATATAGAAGATCAGAATATTTTTTTTATCTACCAATTGGTGCTGAAAAAGAGACGAATATTCGGAACCGTTCTCTTCATATATTCTAGTGAGTCTGTCGATCAAATTATAATTAAAGGTACATGGCTGAATCGGACCCTATGACTTTAATACCAAACAGACAGCAATGACCACTGGAGGGGTCTGTGTTTCGCCATGTGGTTTTATTGTAAAATAACCATGTGAATATCTTTCCATCTTTCCCTGTAAGACGGCACAGGAGGTTGGTGGCACCGTAATTGGGGAGGACGGGCTGGTGGTAATGTCTTGAGCTAAATGAGTGGAACGGTATCAAACACATGATTTCTATGCATTTTATGTAATTCCATTGGCTCAGTTCCAGACATTATTATGAGCAGTCCTCCCCTCAGCAGCCTCCACTGTAAGACAGTGATCAGTTTGATTAAAAACATGGACAATAGACAGAGAGTGCACATACATCATCATCATCATCATCATCATCAATTTAATACCACAATATCACTCACTGTCCATACCTCTGTACTCTACATGTTAGTGCACATGATCCAGAAATATAAAAATCATTATTTTAAATGTCATATTACACACAAGTAAAAAATAGAACTAATTTGAGCCAATCAGAGCCTCCAGAACCTCCGAATAAATATGACCCAGTGGGAGGAGCCAAGACCCTGCAGCATGCTGGGAAAACCTCCTGCCTTCGCTCGTTTCTGTCGTTTAGTTCAGTGTTTTCTTTTTCTCTTTCTGTCTTTTCAGTGCAGCGTCTGACCCTAAGCATCCAGGAAGTCATCTAGAAACTCCAACACTTCCCCCTGTACACACACACACACACACACACACACACACACATCACAGAGTTAGGATTGAACCTGAAGACTGTAACCGGGGGGAAACCATTCTCTGCTGTTTCCTGATTAATATGCAAATAAAGACTAACTACACTGATCAGGCAGAGCCTCCAATTGGGTCTCCAACTCCAGTCCTGGAGTGCTACTGGGTATGCAGGCTTCTGTTCAAGCCCTACTCTTACACAACTGATTCAGCTCATCAAGGTCTTGATGAACAGCTGATTAGCTTAACTATGTGTGTTACAGTTTGGCTGGAGCAAAATCCTGCAGTAGGGTAGCTTTAAAGGAGGAGGTTTGGCCACTCCTGACCTAGACTAGTCATGCTGCGACTCCCGAGTGGCGCAGCGGTCTAACGCACTGCATCTCAGTGCTTGAGGCGTCACTACAGACCACCTGGTTCGATTCCAGGCTGTATCACAACCGGCCGTGATTGGGAGTCCCATAGAGCGGCGCACAATTGGCCCAGCGTCGTCCGGGTTTGGCCGGTGTAGGCCGTCATTGTAAATAAGAATGTGTTCTTAACTGACTTGCCTAGTTAAATAAAGGTTAAATAAGTAAATAAAAATAATAATTAAAAAAATTAGACCTGTCTGTGTTGTTGTGAGTGATCAGCGCCACCCTGTGGTGAGGTCTAATACAGCAGTCTGGTAAACACTGGTCACATTGTACTGCTGGACACAGGTCATGTGATCTGAAAGGAATCTGTGGTTTCTCCCTAGTTTACAGAAATATTACATAGAGAGCCCTGCTAAGAACCAGGTCACGCTTATGGACAGATGTTCTTTACGAACCAGGACATTATTATGGACAGATGTTCTGTAAGAACCAAGACACTCTTTTGGACAGATGTTCTGTAAGAACCAAGACACACTTATGGACAGATGTTCTGTAAGAACCAATACACTCTTTTGGACAAATGGAGACACACTCTCTCTCACACACACATGCACACACCCTCTCTCTCACACACACACACACACACACACACAAAACACGTACCTCATCATCACTCGCCAGGCGTTGTCTGGAGAACACCAGCATCTGTAGCTGCATGGTGGTCTGGTTCAAGTACCGTACCGCCTCCTAAAATACACACACACACACACACACACACACACACCCCACACACCACACACACACACACACACCCACACACACACACACACACAACCCCACACACACACACCCCCCCACACACACACACACACACACACACACACACCACACACACACACACACACACACACACACACACACCCCACACACACACACACACACACACACACACACACCCCACACACACACACACACACACACTCCCCCCACACACACACACACACAAAACACACTCACACACACACACACAAAACACACTCACACACAAAACACACAAGTCAGATCAACATTGACAAGCAAACCCAAATGAAGAACTCCGAATTCAGTCAACGGGTTAAAAAACAACCAATGATAGGCGCCAAATGACCTGCATACAGAGATAGTGGACAGGTGATGTGTGTGTGTGTCTTACCGATCTAGGTAGGAAGTCTTCGTCGCTGAGTCCGTACTTGTCTCTGTTGTACTGGTAATACACCACGTTGTTCTTCATCACCTCATCACTGGGGTCAAACAACATGTAGCTGGCTACGCAAGGCACCGCGTTCTTCAGGTCATTCACTGGGGAGACAAGAGCAACGTCAGTGTTTCTGATTTTACTATCCTTGTTGGGACCACAAGCATAGTAAAAAAAAAGGAAAAGTGGAGACATTTTGCCGTTCCACACAAGGAAAAAGGCTATTTTAGGCTCAGGGGTTAGATTTATGGTTGCAGTTAGGGTTGGGGTTAGAATTAGGGTTAGGTTTTGGGTTAGGTTAAGGCTCAGGGGTTAGAGAAAATAGGATTTTGAAGGGGAATCAATTATTTGGTCCTCACAAGATAGTAAAACAAACGTGTGTGTGTGTGTGCGTGTGTAATAACGTTTGTAATAATAATGTAGTTACATTGTGCAATATCATACCCATAAGCCTGTTATAACACAGTGACAACACAGTGATAGCGCAATGATAACGCAGCGATAACGCAGCGATAACACAGCGATAACGCAGTGATAACACAGTGATAACGCAGTGATAACACAGCGATAACGCAGCGATAACACAGTGATAATGCAGCGACAACACAGCGATAACGCAGCGATAACGCAGCGATAACGCAGTGATAACGCAGCGATAACGCAGCGACAACGCAGCGATAACGCAGCGATAACACAGCGATAACGCAGCGATAAAGCAGCGATAACACAGCGATAACACAGTAATAACACTTGTATTTGTAATCATAAAGTAATAGGACTCTCACATTTGTAATAGGCGAACTGTAGGTAGTGGTACATGGTTGCTACAAACTTCTCTACGATGAATCCTCCAACCACAGGAGTCAGCTCTGCCTCACACCTCACCTTCCTCTCCAACACCTCTGTGTAGTGGTCTGGGAGGGAGAGAGAGAGAGAGGGAGAGGGGGGGGGGGCAGAGAGATAGGAAGAGAGGAGGTAGAGAGAGGGAGAGAGAGAGAAAGGGGGGAGAGAGAGAGGGGAGGGGAGAGAGGAGCGAGAGAGCAGGAGGAGGGAGGGGGGAGAGGTTATACTCATTTACATCAAGAGTGACCTGTTCTGAAACTCAAAAGCATTGGTTGATATTTTGGACAGGTAAGTTCACCTATGTTGCAGGGATAAAAGAGTGACAGCTTGATGGAGGGATTTCTTAACAGAGAGACAGACCTGAGATGGAGAGGTAGAAAGAAAGACTCACCAGCGATGGAGGGATTTCTTAACAGAGAGACAGACCTGAGATGGAGGGGTAGAAAGAAAGACTCACCAGCGATGGAGGGGTAGAAGTCTTTAAAGTCTCTGACCTCCCTGGCCCCTTCTGAAGCAGCCAGACACTCATCATAGATCTTGAAGAAATCCCTCAGAGCCAGCTCCATGTCGGACACTGACGTACGGTAGTTATCACCATTATACGCCCTCACTGCTCGCACAAACAACATCTGGAACAACAACAACACAACACACACACACACACACAGAGTGATACAGTAACACAACATTACAATACGTTCATTGTAACTAGATTAGAAGACCAGACTTATTTCACCAGAGTATCAGAGCACAGCCTGTATCCGTGCAGCCCTGCAGAGCTCCCTAAACCAACATTTGATGTACTATGGATGAACGTCTATTTTTGACGCATTAATTCTGAGTGGTTACAGGGTTCATTCTGAGTGGTTAGGGTTAGGGCATGGTTTGGGGAAGGATTAAAACAAAATAATTAAAAACGACTCTGTCACGACTTCCGCCGAGGCTGCCCCTCCTCCTGGTTCGGGCAGGATACGGCGTTCGTCGTCACCGGAGTACTAGCTACTGCCGATCCCCCATTCTCATCACTCCACTTGTCATGTCTTGTCAATCACACACACCTGGTGCTCATTCCCCTAATTAGTATGTGTATAAGTGTTCCCTCTGTTCCCTTTGTCTTTGTGAGTGATTGTTTTGTTGTGAGAGCGAGGAGCTCGGTTGAGCTACATTTCATTGTGTTATTTGCTAAGGTGGATGTTTTCCCTTGGACAGTGTCGTTTGACGCTTGGGGCGTTTGATTTATGCAAACGGATTAAACTCTGGACTTCGGTGTTTTACCTCCTGGGCCTGACTCCTTCATTCACACCTCGTCACAGACTCACTATTACCATCAAGTATCATCAAGTATTCTCAGCATTCTAGTGGCTTTCTAGAGCATTATGAAGCATTATGAAGCATCATGAACGGCCGTAGCACAGTGGTCTAACCAGCACACTCCGGCTCCGAGCACCACACGTTTTATTTTTGGTGAGCGTCAAGGAAGGCATATATCAACGATCTCAGGACCTTTTCAAACATCCGAAATCGAAGTCTACTTCTAGTGATCAGGCTGCAATTGAGACCTCAGCCTAACACTCGGAGTAAGCCTTTACGTCCTCCTATGACGTCAGTCTGTTACCCTATCCATATCTAACCCAGCCCATGGAGAGAATTATAGAGCAGCTTACTCTTGGCGCTTGTGTGTGTACGGGCGTGCTTGCCCTGTGTGTGTGTGTGTGTGTGTGTGTATACAGCTGTACGTGTGTGAACACAAGTGTGTGTGTTCACCTCGTAGGACTTGGTCTCCAGGTCCGTGAGGTGTTCGTCAGCCCCAGGAAGACTCCTGTAGTAGGCCATGTTCCTCTGCATCATCTCATCATCAGGGTGCTTCAGGAGGAAGGTGTGGGCAGCAGACACGGCCTTGGCCAGGTTATCAGACTGGAGGAGAGAGGAGGAGAGAGGAGGAGAGACGAGGAGACCGGAGGAGACAGGAGGAGAGAGGAAGAGAGAGGAGGAGAGAGGAAGAGAGAGGAGGAGACGGAGAGAGAGAGTGAGAGAGTAGGAGAGAAGAGGAGACAGGATGAGAGACGAGGAGTACAGGATATAGAAGCACAGGAGAAGAGAGAGGCCGAGAGTATAAGAAGAGAGGTAATAGATGATATGATCTATTAAATCCGTATTCTCTCGCAAATTCTTAACATCTTGAGACTTTCTTCTTTCTTTCTCAACCCAGGGGATCTTCATACTTGCGAAAGTTTGGTTGACTAGGGTGACGACGTCATGCCCCTGAGGGGACAGAGATGGAAATTAGAGAGAACGAGAGGGACGTAGGTCAAACAGTGGATACATTAGAGGATGGTTACCCGCATTCTAGCGTAGGCACCGAGTTTAGGGAGTGGAGAACAGGAGGCGAGAGGAGGAGACAGGAGATCAGTATGAGTGGAGGAATGGGTAGAGACATGGGAGAGAGGAGGTAAGGGGAGAGGAGGTAGAGAGGAGAAAAGGAGGAGACAAGGAGGAGAACGGATGAGACAGAAGAGAGAGGAGTACAGCGAGGCGGGAGGAGGAGAGTAGGAGTAGAGACGACGCAGAGGAAAGAGAGATGAGAGTTACACACACAGAGGCAGACAGGCACACGCGCACAAACACACAAACACACAAAACAGGGGCAGACACACACACATACACACACACAGGCTACTCGTATAAAGTGAACAAAACCACAGGACCCTCTTCCTTAGCTCAGACCCCCTCCTTCATGGCACGTATGAGAACACACTACAACTCAGTGGAGCACAGTAGTACAATATACAGCTTGTAGAACTACACTATTAGAATAAAAGGTTCTGGATAGAACCAAAAAGGGTTCTATTGCTTCATATATGGAACTCCTAAAGGTTCTACAGTGCCTTCGGAAAGTAGGCAGTGTAGAAGGCTCTGGCTGGGCCACTCAAGGACATTCAGAGACTTGTTCCGAAGCCACTCCTGCGTTGTCTTGGCTGTGTGCTTAGGGTTGTTGTCCTGTTGGAAGGTGTACATTTGACCCAGTCTGAGGTCCTGAGCGCTCTGGAGCAGGTTTTCATCAAGGATCTCTCTGTACTTTTCTCCGTTCATCTTTCCCTCGATCCTGACTAGTCTCCCAGTCCCTGCCGCTGAAAAACATCCCCACAGCATGATGCTGCCACCACCATGCTTCCCCGTAGGGATGGTGCCAGGTTTCCTCCAGACGTGACGCTTTGCATTCACGCCAAAGAGTTCAATCTTGGTTTCATCAGACCAGAGAATATTGTTTCTCATGGTCTGAGAGTCTTTAGGTGCCTTTTGGCAAACTCCAAGCGGGCTGTCATGTGCCTTTTACTGAGGAGTGGCTTCCGTCTAGCCACTTTACCATAAAGGCCTGATTGGTGGAGCGCTGCAGAGATGCTTGTCCTTCTGGAAGGTTCTCCCATCTCCACAAAGGAACTCTAGAGCTCTGTCAGAGTGACCATCGGAAGGCACTGTATGTAGAACCCTTTTGGAGGGTTCTTTGATCAGAACCCCAGTGGTTTTTCTTCACTGAACCAAAATTGGTTCCATATAGAACCTTTGGGTTCCATGTAGGGTTCTATAAGAGTGTACACTAGTCTACATGGTTCTAAAAGTTATTGAAAAACACAAACATTTTGTATATAAACTACAACTTATATACCAAATGTATACAGCTATAGTTGTTTTTTGAGAGACAGGCAGCTCTACAGATTTAAATAAGCTCTTCTCTGTTCCATACAGCAGAGAGCTGCACTGATTTCACTCACTTTGAAGTAGGCGAACTGCAGGTATTTATAGGGTTCTCGTTTCTCGAACTCCTCCACGGTGTCCCGGCTGGGCATAGTCTGTCTGAAGGCGGGCAGCCCCTGTTTGCACCGCTTCAGGCACTGTGCCCTCTTCATAACGTTACCGAACACTCGCAGCTCCGGGAAATCGGTAAACTTCTCCTCGTTGTCCAGCCGCACGGAGCTGCAGTTGAGGTTGCAGAAGGCCTCGCTGTCCCTGAGCAGCCGGTACAACCGGAGAGACACCTCGAGGTAGTCTACTGTCTCCTGCCATTTCTCTCCGGTGTACTGATCCAGCGCGTATTTATACGCGGAGTCTAGCGGCATTAGTTCATGACGCGGAAAACTTCTGAAGCTGTATTTCTCGTATTGACAGAAGACTATTGTAACGGAAAACGCGAATAGAAGAAGAGAGAGTAGCGGAGTGCTGGAGGTTGCCATCTTTAGTTTCTGTGTAAAGGTTGGACGGCTGGGCGAAATCTACGTCTCTACTCTATTCTGCTTTGTGCCGTGCGTGGGACAGGGACCGCCTCTACCCCCACCACGTAACCAGACACAACTCCACTCGGCTACTCTGGGCAGGGGCTCCGTGCACCTTCCCCTAATCACTATTGTTCTCGAGAGATCTGCAGTAACACACTGGTTGGGAAAACCAGACCCCTGCACTATCCTGCAGCTTACATTAACCTATATGTAAATTAATGTTACAAAGTCACAGATCAAGTTAAGGAGTGTTTTCCATTTGTGGCACCCCATACCAGATGCCAAATGGTCACACAATGGAATGTGATTGATGTCACGCAGAGACAATGAGAAGTAAAACTTAGTGAATGGTGAGTTTATAACTTTCAATGTGCAACATTGCAACATGAAACGGCTTGTTCTGTTGTGTTCGGCTATATGTTTAGTGTAGCTTATATTCTATAATGTAGTATATTCTATCACCCACTAATTACAATTGTAGCCTGTAGCTTTCCCTCTCCCCTGCCACGTCGAGACATTCATTTTTCCAGAGAGCTAGGGGGGGGCACCGGGGCACCACACCCCCACCCCATCATAGCCCAGCCTGTAATAGTCCTTAATAATATGCCACTTAGCAGACGCTTTTATCCAAAGCGACTTACAGTCATGCGTGCATACATTTTTGTGTATGGGTGGTCCCGGGGATCGAACCCACTACCTTGGCGTTACAAGCGCCGTGCTCTACCAGCTGAGCTACAGAGGACCACCCTTCATACTGCATTCGTCTATATAGGCTACATGTGTCAATGTAAACTCTGCTACAGTAGTAGTTCGTGTCTGGTGGTCTTGCGGGGGTCTTGCAGCGGTGATGCAGTCTATTTGATCTCCAGCCGTGACTACTAGGCCCTCCATTTGCCGTTTCCACGTCAACAAATCTGCTGTGTGCTACTGCGCCTGCGCCCATTCCATTCAATCCCGAACCGACGGGCATCAAGAGAAGAAGACAAGAACGGGAAGAAGAAGTTCAGTGGAACCGAAACAACCTGCGAGAGTGAAAAAGAGAACGAGAGCAATAGCAACCGTTAAAGTCACGGTTATCCACCCATATTTTTGTCGGTAAAGGAGAGGCGTATGAAAATGAACCAGTGCATGCACGGGATGATCTATCTGGCGGCTCTGGTGGCTTTTGTCGCCTGTGACGCCCCTCCGGTACCGTTAGATGACATCGTTATTGAGAAAACGTTCGTGCCGGAGCAGTGCGAGCGCGCGGTGAAAGTAGGGGACTATGTCCGTTACCACTATAACGGCATGTTCCCCGATGGAAAGAAGTTTGACTCCAGGTATCGTTTTTCCTTTTCTTTTCCTCACTCCTGCATGCAGTGAGTAGCGTGCACGTCCATAAACTCATGTGCGTGTTTTATTACCGGGTCTTCCAAACAGCCACGCAGGCAGAGAGAGCTAGAGAGAGAGAGCGAGAAAGCGATATGGAGAGAGCGTGTGTAATGTTTACTGTTCATTTTTTATTGTTTATTTTACTTTTGTTTATGATCTATTTCACTTGCTTTGGCAATGTAAACATCTGTTTCCCATGCCAATAAAGCCCTTTGAATTGAATTGAGAGAGAGAGAGAGAGAGAGAGAGAGAGAGAGAGAGAGAGAGAGATAGAGAGCTGTTCACTCAGAGACAGAGAGACTCTGCTGCAGTCTCCACGACTGAACTAAAGAATAAGTGAATATAACTTATCACTCCAGAGAAAACAGTTCTCTTGTGCTACTAAATACACCGGGTGATAATACTGTACGGGGGCAAGGGTGTATACCCAAGTCTACCTGTCCTGCTCTAGGCCATGCACACACAGGTACAGCCTCCAGGTGTGTGAGTGTATGTCATGCAAGGCCAGCAGACGGATCAGGTTAAACATCTCATTAATAGGTCATTCATTCAGTCATTCAGTCATTCATGTAAACCCTTGGGCTATAGTAGACCAGACCAGTGGGCTCAAGCATCAATGTGTGTGGCAAGAACTGATATGCGGTTGGCCAGTGTCGTAGTCTAGGCATGTTAACCACAGTCTCACCACAGCCAACCAATGACTGCTGACGGGACATAGAGCCACATATGACTGAGTGACTGAGTGAGTGAATCAGTGAAGTGAGTGAGTGAGTGAGTGAACGAGGGAGTAAATTAGTGTTTTTCTTGTCTTTCTGTCGTTTTTGGTTGAGATGTTGACTGCTCCCATAACGTGTGTGTGTGTGTGTGTGTGTGTGTGTGTGTGTGTTGTGTTTTGCAGCTATGATCGCAGCAGCACCTACAATGTGTATGTGGGTAAGAAACAGCTGATTGAAGGGATGGACAGAGCTCTGGTGGGTATGTGTGTCAACGAGAGACGCCTGGTCACCATCCCCCCACAACTGGCCTATGGGAAGGAAGGATACGGTAAACTCATTACATCATGTATAACATCAGTTAGAACATAGTTGACAAAGCTTTAATGGCATTTAAGCTTATTATTGAGGCTTGGGAGAAAATACATCTCAACGCCTCCCCTCTAATCAATCAACAACTGTATGTACTCAGCATGTCATCTACCTGTAACCTGTGCTTAGGATGGAGCAGGATGTTGGGTGTATGGGTCGCGCGAGCATTTGTCTGTGTTTGGTCTGTGTACCGCATGTCTGTGTAGAAGCTGTTGTTTACCGTTTCGGAGGTATTCATAAACACACAGAGGAAGAAAGGAAGCAGGACAGGAAGTGGGCGGTCTCAGCTCCATGTCGAATCGGCCCACTCTGACATCACAGACCAGGAAGTGAGCGCTGCCTGGAGCCAAGCTGTTTGTTACTTTACCCAGGGCAGGCTGAGCTAGCTGCTGTCACTGAATATCAGATCAATCACCTTAGCTTGTCCATAGATTAGTGCTGCTATGAGCTCAGACCAACTCTCTTCAACTAACACATAGAGGAGGAGTCTTGTTGTAGAAGTTACCCTCAGTCACAGGGGAGACTGCACAGTGTCAGGAGTGTGTTTGTCCATATTAGTGTGTGTGTGTGTGTGTATTAGCATGTTTTTGTGCGCATAAAGAGGTCATCAAGCGGATTGGTTGGTTTTGCATGAGGAGAGATTAGAACAGGAATGTGTGGCCTGACTTGGCACGTAGAGACTGGTAAAGAGAGAGAAAGAGAGGGGGGAGGGGCATGTATGGACAGGTAAATATAGGTGTCTCTCTACAGATTAGTATGGAAGAGAGACAGAGAGAGAGAGAGAGAGAAAGAGGCAGAGAAACAGAGAGACGAGAGAGAGAGAGAGGGAGAGAGAGAGAGAGAGAGAGAAGAGGAGAGAGAGAGAGGAAGAGAAAAAGAGAGAGGAGAGAGAGAGAAGGAGAGAGAGAGAAAGAGAGAGAGAGAGAGAGAGATGAGGAGAGAGAGAGAGAGAGAGAGAGAGAGGCATAATAGCCATAATATGACATTTTTAATGTCTCTATTCCTTTGAGTGTAATACATACTGTTCATTTTATTGTTTATTTCACTTTTTTAAATTATCTATTTCACTTGCTTTGGCAATATGTTTCCCATGCTAATAAAGCCCTTTGAAATGAATTGAGAAGAAGAAAGGGAGGAGGAGTGAGAACCAGGGAGTGAGAGCCAGGGAGTGAGAGCCAGGATGTGAGAGCCAGGGAGTGAGAGCCAGGGAGTTGGAGGGAGAAACAGTCTTTGCCAGCAGAGAGAACAACTGTCAACTCACCAGTATGGATTTATTCACAACCACCCTCAACTTCTCTACCCCTCCTCCTCCCTTCCTCTTCCCCTCCTCTCATGTTCCCTCCCTCCCATAACAATGTCTGTGGCCTGTTTATAATTAAGTGATAATGCCCAAGAAGCCGGTGTTTGTTGGATATATTGGCACGGGTGTTGTTAGGCCCAAAACAAAGTTGAGCCAATATATCCAACAAACACCGGCTTCTCGGGCATTATCACTTAATTATATCACTTTTATACAACGGGTTACCAACATATTCAAAAAATAATTGACATATCTTCATAAAAAATGTTATTTTGATTAATTTATTCGTACTATTTCATCCTTCCACAATATATAGTCCCAACACAAATCTTTGGTTGCTAGAGACGCGACCCAGTCGTTCAGTCTTTTTGTTCTGTATCTATGGACGCGACCCAGTCATTCAGTCTTTTTGTTCTGTATCTATGGACGCGACCCAGTCGTTCAGTCTTTATGTTCTGTATCTATGGACGCGACCCAGTCATTCAGTCTTTTTGTTCTGTATCTATGGACGCGACCCAGCCGTTCAGTCTTTTTGTTCTGTATCTATGGACGCGACCCCAGTTCATTCAGTCTTTTTGTTCTGTATCTATGGACGCGACCCAGTCATTCAGTCTTTTTGTTCTGTATCTATGGACGCGACCCAGTCGTTCAGTCTTTTTGTTCTGTATCTATGGACGCGACCCAGTCGTCAGTCTTTTGTTCTGTGTCTGACGCCCAGTCTTCAGTCTTTTTGTTCTGTATCTATGACGCGACCCAGTCGTTCAGTCTTTATGTTCTGTATCTATGGACGCGACCCAGTCATTCAGTCTTTTTGTTCTGTATCTATGGACGCGACCCAGCCGTTCAGTCTTTTTGTTCTGTATCTATGGACGCGACCCAGTCATTCAGTCTTTTTGTTCTGTATCTATGGACGCGACCCAGTCATTCAGTCTTTTTGTTCTGTATCTATGGACGCGACCCAGCCGTTCAGTCTTTTTGTTCTGTATCTATGGACGCGACCCAGCCGCTCAGTCTTTTTGTTCTGTGTCTATGGACGCGACCCAGTCGTTCAGTCTTTTTGTTCTGTGTCTATGGACGCGACCCAGTCGTTCAGTCTTTTTGTTCTGTGTCTATGGACACCACCCAGTCGTTCGTTCTAAATGTTCTATTGCCATACTGGCTGGCAACATTCTTATCCCTTGCTGCTAGCTAGCCAACTACGGCTAATTTACAGTCACGTCAAAAATGTACTCCAGAATAACAGCAAAGTAGCTGCATTTGCATTTGTTTAAGCTGTTTTCTAGTGACATTTATTTGGATACATCCATAACAATGAGCTAATGAGGTGTGATTTCGTCTGGCATAGAGAATGTGCTCACTCGTCAGGACACTGTTGTTCAGAGGAGCTAACCAACAACACAGCTACAGTAATACAATCACTTCAAACTGAAGCTGGAAAGACTGCAAATTAGCTGCATTTTGTTTGACCTTTTTTCAATGGACATTTCTTTGGATATATCCATAAAAATGATGCCAGCTGATTCATTATTTCGACCGGCTGACAAACGCTGCCTGCCTCTCTCTCTCGTCCCGACTCCCGACACGTTCATTACTATGGGACAGCAGGAGATTGAATTTGAATATTGAAACAATGTTGCAAATGTCGGAGAGACAGACAGCAAGGTTTATACAAATCTCCGCTGTTGAAAACGAAATGTTAGTCTAAAATAAATGTGAGATAAGGTCTACATGCTTTTTATAGCGGAGATCAAGTTTATAAAGTGCCTGGCTGGGCTGATGAGACAGTGGATTGCATAGTCAGATGGAACAGAGTAAATAGGCATTTTAACGTCATAGATTTAACCGGTGGTAACTTGTGGAATAGACACCGGCTGGAATGCGGTTTTAACCAATCAGCATTCAGGATTAGACCCACCCCTTGTATAATCGCTGATTAATTTCCTCCTTGAAAGAGATAATTTCATGTTCATCTGTCTAGTTTAACATTGAGAGAGGGGATGAGAGGATGAGAGAGAGAGAGAGAGAGAGATGTTGAGAGAGAGAGAGAGAGAGAGAGAGAGAGGTTGAGAGAGCGAGTTTGAGCGAGAGAGGAGAGGTTTGAGGAAGCGAAGATAGAGGAGAGAGGGTTGAGAGAGAGAGAGTGAGAGCGGGAGAGAGAGGTTAGAAGCGACTAGATGAGATAGAGAGAGGTTGAGAGATGCGTTAGGATAGAGGAGAGAAAGAGATAGAAGGACAGAGAGGACAAGACCTAAAGTCATTCTTCCTAATCCTCAGGTGATGCATCCTCTAAACCCACCTCCTTTTGACTCTGTTGTTGGACTTTGGGAAACCCCGACGATGGATCAGATGTAACGACGTACACACACTAACACCCTGAAACTGCTCTAGGAAGTAGAGTGCAGACTACGTACGTTACATACACACACACACAAAACTGCTGGACGGAACACACTGTACGAACTCACGTTAGACACGACATGCACACCTACTACACATCTACACACTACTAACACACACTACACACTACTAACACATCCAACCACTACTAACACACACTACACACTACTAACACACACTACACACTACTAACACACACCTACACTACACTACAACACACCACTACACACACTCTAACACACACTCACACACTACTACCAAAATCTACACACTACTAACACACACTACACACTACTAACACCAAACCCTACACACTACTAACACAACACCTACACACTACTACACCACCTACACTACTAACACCACCCACAATCAACAACACACTACTAACACAACACACCACTACAAACACTACTACACACACACTACTACCACACAACTACACCACTACTAACACACACTACACACTACTCACACCATCTACACACCTACTAACACACACTACACACCTACTAACCACACCTCCACACTACTCACACACCACCCACCACTACACCATCTACACACACTCCTAACCCCCCTACACACTACTAAACACCACTAAACACTACTACACACACTGTACACACTACTAACACACACTCCACCCAACCTACACACCCACTACACACCCCACTAACCACACACTCCCACTAACACACACTACTACACACCCATCACACTATACACCACAACACTATTAACACACACTACTAACACAGGGAGCGAGAGGGATGAAGAGACGCCCTGCAAGGAGGGAGATGATAGAGGAGAGAGATGATAGAGGCAGGGTAGTATGAGCGTATTACGAGAGTGGCGATGCTGCGGCGGGCGTGATAGGAGCGTACGATGATGAGCATCGAGAGCTATAGAGGCGCGCTGCTAGAGGAGAGCGAGCTGCTCGGGCGGAGCCTGCCCTGCGCGTGCCTCAGCCTCTGCTGCGCGAGTCTGCTAGCTGCGGCGCCGCTGCTCCGGGGGCGCTATCTCGCGTCTGGGCGCTGCTAGAGGCGGGCGATGCTACCGGGAGCGCTGCTCAGTCGGGCGTGCTCGAGGAGGGCTGCTCGCGGAGGGGATACCGAGGAGGGCTGATTAGGGCGAGGAGGGGATAGCTGGAGGAGGAGGGTGACATTTGTAGTCTTTCCAATAAATAAATGTCTGCTGTACTTGTAGTCTTCTAATAAGTATTTGTGCATTCTCTCCCCATCTCTCCCTCCCCCTTTCTCCCTCCCCCTCCCCCTCTCCCCCTCCTCCTGTAGCCACACTCGTATGCGTACCTATGACACCTACGTGGGGATTGGCTGGCTGATCGCTGGCATGGACCAGGGCCTTCTGGGCATGTGTGTTGGGGAGAGACGCATCATCACCATGCCCCCGTCACTAGGATACGGATCAAATGGAGATGGTAAGTGGGTGCTGCTGGGTAATAGAGTTCTTTCTGAGTGTTATCCCAGTCCAGGCCTCTCTAATACTGTAGGACCAGAGATGGCATCATCAGTGTGACGCTCTCTGTCTGTCTGTCTGTCTGTCTCTCTCTCTCTCTCTCTCTCTCTCTGTCACTGTCTCTGTCTCTCGCCCTCTCTCTATCATGCACGCTCTCGTCGCTCTCTCTCTTGCTTTCTCTCTCTTTCTCTCTCGCTCGCTCTCATTCTCTCTTTCTTTCTCTCCTCCTCTCCCTCCTTCCATCCCTCCATCCCCACCGCTCTTTCCCTCTCTAGGTAGTGATATCCCAGGCCAGGCCTCCCTGGTATTTGATGTAGTCCTCCTGGACCTCCATAACCCTAAAGACGGCGTCAGTATAACCAACCAGGACATACCTCAACCCTGCCTCAGGAAGAGTGTGTCTGGGGACTTTATCAGATATCACTATAACGGATCACTACTGGACGGGACCTTCTTCGACTCCAGGTGAGGAAGAGTGAGAGAAGGCGAGAGAGAGAGAGTGTGTGTGTGTGTGTGTGTGACTTCATAAATATGTATATAAACACTGCTCCTCTATTTCCTTGTGGTCCTGCTGCATTGTGTTTATCCTTTATATGTAATTCTTATTTTGTACTCAAGGTGGCAGTATAACCTTACAAATTAAAGTAGACTGAAATTAGTTTCTCATAAGATTTACTGAATGAACCAAACAGTAAAAGAGATATGGTACTCTTATCTTACTTGGAAACTACATGTAAGTTCGGACTGAATAAGGTGTGGAATTTAGATTCTAGACATTTACTTCATAGGTATTTAGAAATCTTGAATTTAGAACTTCTGGGTGGGCAAATGTTTTAATATGTTGGTAACTGATTGTAACGTGTCTCGTTCTGTACATATGATTATTGTCCTCTGTTGTTTAATACCACAGTTACTCCCGTAACCGTACATATGACACCTACGTGGGTAAGGGCTCTTTGATTGGTGGGATGGACGAGGGCCTGATCGGAGTCTGCATCGGTGAGAGAAGACGCATCACTATCCCACCTCACCTCGGGTACGGAGAGGAGGGCACAGGTATGTCCAAAAAGAGGGTTTGTGCGTGCGTGTGTTTAGGTTTTCATGGTACCGTTGTTTATGGAAAGTTGATTTCATCGTCTTTACTGACCTCTGCCAATCTCTCCTCTCCTCTCCTCTCCTCTCCTCTCCTCTCCTCTCCTCTCCTCTCCTCTCCTCTCCTCTCCTCTCCTCTCCCTCCTCTCCTCTCCTCTCCTCTCCTCTCCTCTCCTCTCCCCTCCCCTCCCCTCCCCTCCCCTCCCCCCCTCCCCTCCCCTCCCCTCCCCTCCCCTCCCCTTCCCTCCCCTCCCTCCCCTCCCTCCCCTCCCCATCCCTCCTCCCCTCCCCTCCTCTCCTCTCCTCTCCTCTCCTCTCCTCTCCTCTCCCACCAGGTACTAAGATCCCAGGTTCCGCTGTCTTGGTGTTTGATATCCATATCATAGACTTCCACAACCCATCAGACACAGTGGCGATCACTACCAGCTATAAACCAGAGGTGTGTGAGACGCTGGCTAAGAAAGGAGACTTTGTTAAATACCACTACAACGCTTCGCTAATGGACGGATCCTTCATCGACTCCACGTGAGTAGAAAGACGAAGACACACACTCACACACTCACACACTCACACACTCACACACTCTTCTAACAATCTCTCTCTCCAGGTATAACTATGGGAAGACGTATAACATTGTGCTGGGAGCCAACCAGGTGGTCCCAGGGATGGAGGAAGGGCTGATGGAGATGTGTGTTGGAGAGAGAAGACACCTGGTTATTCCTCCTCACCTGGGCTACGGGGAGAGGGGAGTAGGTGAGTTACACATGCACACGCACACACACACGCACACACACACACACACACACACACACATACACACACACACACACGCACACACACACACACACACACACACACTAGTCCACTCCTTCAGTAGCCTCCAACTGCTCTTAAACACTAGTAAAACTAAATGCATGCTCTTCAACCGAACGCTGCTTGCACCCGCCCCACCCGACTAGAATCACTACTCTCGACGGGTCTGACCTAGAGTATGTGGACAACTACAAATATCTAGGTGTCTGGTTAGACTGTAAACTCTCCTTCCAGACTCACATTAAGAATCTCCAATCCAAAGTTAAATCTAGAATCGGTTTCCTATTTCGCAACAAAGCCTCCTTCACTCATGCTGCCAAACATGCCCTCGTAAAACTGACTATCCTACCGATCCTTGACTTCGGCGATGTCATTTACAAAATAGCCTCCAACACTCTACTCAGCAAATTGGATGTAGTCTATCACAGTGCCATCCGTTTTGTCTCCAAAGCCCCATATACTACCCACCACTGTGACCTGTACGCTCTTGTTGGCTGGTCCTCACTACATATTCGTCGCCAAACCCACTGGCTCCAGGCCATCTATAAATCACTGCTAGGCAAATCCCGCCTTATCTTAGCTCATTGGTCACCATAGCAACACCCACCCGTAGTCTGCGCTCCAGCAGGTATATCTCACTGGTCATCCCCAAAGCCAACACCTCCTTTGGCCGCCATTCCTTCCAGTTCTCTGCTGCCAATGACTGGAACAAATTGCAAAAATCTCTGAAGCTGGAGACACTTATCTCCCTCACTAACTTTAAGCATCAGTTGTCAGAGCACCTTACCGATCACTGCACCTGTACACAGCCCATCTGAAATTAGCCCGCCCAAACTACCTCATCCCTATATTGTTATTTATTTTGCTCATTTGTACCCCAGTATCTCTATTTGCACATCATCTCTTGCACATCTATCATTCCAGTGTTAATACTAATTGTAATTATTTTGCACTATAGCCTATTTATTGCCTTACCTCCATAACTTGCTACATTTGCACACACTGTATATATATTTATTTCTGTTGTATTTTTGACTTTGTTTTGTTTTACCCCATATGTAACTCTGTGTTGTTGTTTTTATCGCACTGCTTTGCTTTATCTTGGCCAGGTCGCAGTTGTAAATGAGAACTTGTTCTCAACTGGTTTACCTGGTTAAATAAAGGTGCATTTAAAAAAAAAAAAAAGCGGTTATTAACCCATTCATGTCTATTGGTATGTTACAGATGGTGAGGTGCCGGCCAGTGCTGTCCTGGTCTTCGACATTGAGATGATCGAGATGGAGGCGGGGCTTCCTGACGGTTACATGTTCATCTGGAACCAGGACGTATCAGCTGACCTCTTCACTGAGATGGACGCAGACAAGGACCTACAGGTGTTGGCCTCAGAGGTACGCATCACAGCTAAATCCCGCCCTCAGCTACACACGAATAGACATACACATGACTGTGGGTCCTCCTGCATCTCACCTCCTCTCCTTCGTCTGTTCTGATTGAAGACAACTGGACAGAGTATGGCTGCATCTCAGCAGTCTCAAATGGCCTCCTCTCCTTCATTTGCACTGATCTGTAAACACAATACAAGTGAAAGCAGTGGAACAGAATATTTCATCAGTTCATTTAAATCAGTTCAGAAGGAGAGGAGACGATCAAGTTATGATTAACTGAGGCAACTGGCTAACCAATTCACAATTCTCCCTCCCCCCTCTCTCTCCCCCCCCTCCCTCCTTCTCCCCTCCCTCCCCCCCTCCCTTTTTCCCTCCCCCCTCTCTCCCTCCCTCCTCCCTCCCTCCCCCCTCCTCTCCCCTCCTCTCTCCTTCCCCTCTCTTCCCCCCTCCCCCCCTCTCTCTCTCCCTCCCCCCTCTCTCCCCCCTCCCCCCACCCCCTTTTCTCTCTCTCCTCTTCTCTCTCTCTTCGGGCCCCCCTCCCCCCTTCTCCTCCTCCCCCTCCCCCCTTGTCTCTCTTCTCCCCCCCCTCCCTCCCTCCCCCCTCTCCCTCCCGCCTTTCCTCCCCCCTCCTTCGCCCCCCCCCCTCGCCCTCCCCCCTCCCTCCCTCCCCTCTCTCTCTCTCCCTCCCCCCTCTCTCCCTCCTTTCCTATCCCTCTCTCCAGTTCTCAGACTATATTCTGCGTCAGGTGAACGAGGGTAAAGGTCGTCTGGCCCCTGGGTTTGAGGCCTATCGCATCATCGAGAACATGTTCTCCAACCAGGACCGTAATGGAGACGGAAAGATCACTGAGGAGGAGTTTAAACTGAAGGCAGATGAGACCACACACGACGAGCTATAAGACAGGGACAGGGTGTATGAGGGGGCTTATATGATGACAATATAAGACAAAGAGGGTGTGTGTGTGTGTGTCTGTGTGTGTGCTTGTGTGTGTGTGTGTTTGCTTGTGTGTGTGTGTTTGCTTGTGTGTGTGTGTGTGTGTGTGTGTGTATGTGTGTGTGTGTGTGTGTGTATGTGTGTGTGTGTGTGTATGTGTGTGTGTGTGTGTGTGTGTGTGTATGTGAGGGGTTATATGGTAGGAGGGTGACGGGGGTGAGATGGCACAGGGTCAGACATCTAGAGAAAACCAAAGAGAGAGGCAAGTTGTATTCTGAGTAATGGGCCGAGTAACAAACAGTGCTTTAGTTAGCGTTTACCTGTCCAGTCTTCTGTGAGCTGAGTAGTCTGGGGGAGGGGAGTGGGAGGGAATGAGAGAGGACTGAGTAGTCTGGGGGGGGAATGAGAGAGGACTGAGTAGTCTGGGGGAGGGAATGAGAGAGGACTGAGTAGTCTGGGAGGGAATGAGAGAGGACTGAGTAGTCTGGGGGGGAATGAGAGAGGACTGAGTAGTCTGGTGGAGGGAATAAGAGAGGACTGAGTAGTCTGGTGGAGGGAATAAGAGAGGACTGAGTAGTCTGGGGGAGGGAATGAGAGAGGACTGAGTAGTTTGGGGGGGAATGAGAGAGGACTGAGTAGTCTGGGGGAGGGAATGAGAGAGGACTGAGT